GGTTAAAAGTCTTGAAATGATTTTCCATAATTATATTTTAATTAAAAAATTTATTTTCCATGGTTCCTGTAGTATAAAACAAATAGATAGAGTTATTTCAAATTATTCTGTGCTTTACTCCCATATGTGTTTATCTTTCTCTCTATATTTAGTTTGTGGTTTTTAATTTCTAAGGCTTACTGTTTTTTATATATGTATTTACTCTGTTGCCTTTTAATTTTGTTCTCATGTATAACAAATTTATAGTGAATTCGTGTTTCCAAGTCTTTCCTTATCTCAGTGTTTACTGTTCACAAATTTTCTTGGTCATTCTATTTTTAATCTATTCATTTGACTACTGATATAAATTTAATCTTATATTACTGATATTTACTAGAATTCGTATAATGATTGACACTTAATTTCTAACTCAAAGCTAAACCATTGTAATAATTTAAGATTTATTAGAATTCGTATAATGATTGACACTTAATTTCTAACTCAAAGCTAAACTATTGTAATAATTTAATGAACATCTAACAATAATTGGCTATGGTTTCTAAAAAAAGAAAAGAAAATGAAGATTTAATATATATTTTATTTATTAAACCTATCTTCAAGTAAATCTACAGAAAGTCTCAACTGGGTAAAGACCATTCTCATTTTTTTACTCCAAACTATTGTTTTTCAGTTTTCGTAAAGATAGCTTAAGGAGAGATAATTGTGGGAAGGGATGAGATGTTAGTGGAGAGGAGTGAGGAAAGGTTTTTTTTTTTTTTTTTTGGTTTATTTATTTATTTATTATTATTATTTTAAATATTTATTTATAATTATTTTTGTTGGCTTATATCTTTATTTATTATTTTATTTATTTATTTATTTATTATTATTATTATTATTTTGCTATGACATTCGCATAACCATCATTTATTACATAAACTTCGAAAAACGCTTAAAACAACTATTCTCTAAAAAACGCACCCATGTCCTTACGTATTTAAATACGAAATACTGAAATTAAGAGAAAATAAGAGCAATACAAAATAATTTAAAACAATGAAATGCATAACAACCTATTCTAACCTAAACTTAGAAATTTAAATATGAATCTACCCTATGCACGTGCCACAGTCTCTGCTCGTGAAGCAGCCGTCCTCCGTACAAGTGCGCCTTGCCTTGATCTGAAAAATAATGTGGCACACGGCTTGAGTATTTTGAAGAATGCTAAGTAAGTGGCCCCACTATAGGGGGCCATGCAAATGAAAACACAAACAATCATTATTTAGGGACCTATCTATCTCTATCATCATAGGGGTGGCCTCCAGTCTCGGATAAAGAGAGTACATGAATGAGTAAAGATGACATTCGAAGGAAAGTAATCCAGAGTATAGATGAATGAGAAAATCTTAAAAAGAATTGAAAGTTACTACCTATATCAAAGAGGTGCACTTTCCCTTTTGGTGTTTCAATTATAGGAACTTCGAATTCAACTAGAGAAATTTTATGTTGGGTGACCTTTTGAGAATTTTTGTAGCAAACACGTGATTGAGGACAAAACGTGTTAGAAGGTTCATAGTTTTTACTATTAGAAGCGAGGAGTAAGTCACCTGACCATATCGTCACGTGAATCCTAGGGCCGTTAAGTACCAAATTCCTATTTCGAATCTTGGGTATGAGTCATTGCAATTAGAAGCTCAAAACCCGACCAAATTATAACATTAAAAGAATTCTGATATCCCAAAAGATTCCTCTCACTACTGTAGACTTCAAATATACAAAATCTTCGGTCTATAAAGAAACCCAACAACACTATGTTGAATTACTACATGGGTGAGCAATCAAACATAAAAGAAAAAAAAAAGCAGGTTTTTGTGGTTCGGGGATTTTATTTCATTTTTTCAAAGGGTGTATAATTCAAAGATACCCGAAGGAATATTTCTCAAGTAAAATCCATCATCAAATGCTACCTAAATGCAGTTTTTAAAGTCACACCGTGGAGAAAGCTAATACTAGTTCCCGGGCCAAAATCCTCAAATGAAGCATGTCCATTCTAACCATTAAAATTGCACCAAAATAAAGTTATACGCCAAAAGTTCATTGTGAAGCTCCAGTTGAATCGAGCATGCTTGTAAAAAATGCTTTCGCTCAAACGTCATCTCTTGACTTGCAATGGACATTTAAAACATAGTTTGTTTGATAATCGTAGATAGCCACTTGTCATTCGCTCCATGGTTCTTGCCCTTTGCTCCCTATAGCTTGTATCTTGGATCCTGCAAAACGTGTATTAATAATAATGGACCCTTCAATTTTTCTTTAGATAATCGAGGCTCTTTTGTTGATGCTTAGCCATTTGGGTTTTTGTTCATTATACACCAAAAAAAAACTTGTGTTGAACAACCTCTTAATCCTCTTTGGGAATGTAATTTAAGGTTAATATCCATGCAAAAGATTAAATGCTATGAGAGTTTTGAGTTTGGATATCCTTATTTGTTGCATAGTTATAAATATCAATTCTTTTTTATTTGCTATTTTTGATTGAGATGAAAAATAAAGCTGTCCTAATTTTAATTAAAAAAATAAAGGAAACCACAAATGAGACGGTTTGATTTTCTATATTTTCTCCTTAATTAGCACAAATTATCTCAAGCACATTAAGGCAGTGTTATAAATGGTTCTCTTGACTATATTTATCATATTTTCTTAGCATTGAACCGGAAATAAAAATAGATAAGACAGAAAGAAAAATAGATAAGAAGTAATACTCGAATTTTTTGATAGATAAATAAATAAATAAAATAACAACATATGGGCAAAAGGGTCTCTTACAAAGGGTCTAGTTGTTTGGGCTCTAAGAAGGGAGAAAAAAAGAAAAAGAGAGAGAAAGGAGAAAGGAGAAGAAGTTAGGGTTTGGGAGAGAGGAATAGTAGAGAAGACAAAGTGTTGTTGGAGATCTAATCCAAGGCAAGAAACTTCGAAGCAATACTCCTTTCGGTGCTAGAAAAGAAGTTTGGGTGGTGGATCCACTCATTCCAGCAAGAAAATCTAAGAACGGACAAAGTAAGATTCTGAACTTCGTGTTTCGATTTTATCTAGATCTAAGAAATTTCATGAGTGTTAGATTTGGAGTTTTTGAGGTATGTAACTAAAATAAGATTCACACAGGTCTTTTGAAGTTTCTGGACGAAAATTGGAGTTTCAAGAAAACGTTATTTTCGGTAAGAACTCGTGTTTTTTCCCAAATTCGAATTCAAATAATAAGACCTGTGATTACAAAAAAAAAATACAAGAAAAATATATTGTAGAAATAGAATATGAGATCTATAATATTCGTGAAGAGAACTTGTTGATTCGGATTATGGATTGGAAGATATTAAAATCAAAAGAAAATGGATCGAAAACGCCAAAACTCACGTTTCTGGAAAATTGGAAAAAAACGCAAGAGAGAGGAGGAATTGCCGCCACATGTCGACCGACGTACGGAGGAGCGCGGGAGGACCAACAAGCGACACGTGGCGACCTCGGGCTGGAGAAGCACATCAGGTGCGCGCAATCGGGTCGGCCTGAGTCCGAACCACTCGAACCGGCCCGACCGGTCGCTGGCCTGCGACTGCGTGGGAAGTCATGCGCAGTACACCCTCCAGAGCGTGTCAGCGCGTGAGTGACCGTTTTCCCTCCGTTCGACCTCCGTTTGCTTGTTCTTTGCCTCGATTTCAACTCTGATCCTATTTTTATGTGAATTAGAACCTATCAAGGAAATTCCATAATTTTTGGAACCTTTTCCGGCAAATGATTCAAGCTTGGGAAGGCACGCGCCAACCATGTAAGTAACCATTTGAATTCCCACGAGCAGTACTTGTAGGAACCGCTAGGAACATGTATGCATGCTACCATCCATTAAATTAGCTAGCCGGACCTAGCATATTAGTATGGAAACTGTGAAAATAAAATGATTAAGGAAAGCTAGATATGAAATGTTTATTAAATCTGTTTTGATTGAGATTCTGATAAAATATGTATGCATGAGGAGGATGGGAAACTTGTTAAATCTGCGCTCCAGGTAAAGGTGGACGTTGTCTTCCCATTGAGCATGTTTGTGAATATTGCATGAACTGCTGCGTGTTAACTCTTATGCATGATGATGGCTTGTATTATCTTTCTTGATGAACAGGAAGAAATTATGAGCTTAGATTAGGGTATTTGTGACTAGGTAGGCTAGACGAGACCCTAGATTGGGGGACCTCTAAAATACCGTGCATTTTGACCTACGAAACGATTACCGGCAGATCCAGAGCCCAGAATTCGAAACCTGATAGGTTTGTGAGACCTTGCACGAGAATCCCAAAGATGCATGAATCCAAGCTAAGCCACCAAGTTCCACCCTAGAAAGAATAGTAGGTCAGCACGGTAACTGTAGGTAGCCCGCTAGAGCTTAGCAGTGTGGATAGTGTCATTAGAACCTCCACTTTCCTCTCTGCTCCGATACCGTACCGTCGAGACAGAGCTCAGGTACGGAGATCGTTGAGCTTGGCAGATCCGGATAGGGAAGTGTGAAAGGTGCCCAGACCTAGTGGTGATAGCTAAGGGGTCTTATGAACAGGTTTCTTGGGCCGTAGAAACCCGTCCCTGAGCAGGGGACGTGGAGCCACGTAAGATAACTTAGTAGCTGACCGGCACACAGGGGGTCACCCCGTTTAGTGGATGTATGGTTCCATGTGAGGGTCGTCAACTAACCTCCACGGATGATGTTCAGAGAGAGTCACGTATTCAGATCCAACCATATGATACCCTCAGATTTACTAATGAGGTCGCGCCTCACCTCAAGACACTGATCATTTCACTGCATAAGATAGGCAAACCTCCTAAGATACAGAAAAGAGAGTTGTAGCATGATTTTCACTCACTAGAATCCAGAGATAAGACCGTGTATACCCACTAAGATAAGGATGCGAAAAGAGCCTACAAGTAGGTTGCTTACTGAGTATATTTTTATACTCACCCCTTACTTCCTTTTTTTTTTTTAGGTACCAGTCGATACGGGAAGGTGTTCGAGAGCTGCACACGGTCACAAAGGGGTGTCGTTCCAGAGCTTTAGTCCCTTGTCGGTCTTTTATAGTCCTTCGTTCGTTTTCATATTTGGAGTCTTTTGTATTTAATTTTATATTTGCAATTCCTATTTGTAACATTTGACTTTGATTTTATATTTAATTTTGGTGTCCTTGATTTCCTTTTCTTGTTTTAAATTTTTATTGATTTTTACCTTCTATTTTATTTTTTTTTATTTTTATTTGTTTTCGATTTCGTCTTTTTAGTCACGATTCGGTCTTTCGAAACCTTGAAAGTCAGGTCCTGACAGATTGGTATCTGAGTAGTCGGGTTTTTGATTCTTTAGACTTTTCCTAGGATAGAGAGTCGTACACCTCTATGACTCAGCTCGACGACATGCCTCGCCGCGACCAGGTACGCAATCTAACCTTGTTTAGTAGGTTATGATATGATGTAACGCTAGTAAGAACTTGATGTATGTTTTGGGTTAACACTTTAGGGTGTTAAAAGTGAACATTCCCTCTATATGTTGATGCTAGATTCGAGTTATTGTAAGGAGGCCGAGAGGGGTCTTGTTTTAGTTTACTTGCCTTAGGAAGACAAAAAGGTGACTCTGCAGAGTGCGTGACGTCCAATCCATAGAAATGTACATGAGACTTTTTAAAGCCCAATATGAGATGATATACCCATGGCCATAATTCTAGATGTCAAGCATGCCTCCGTGGATATCACATTAGTAGACCCAGACAACATCATTCTTACAAGTAAGGGCGGCCACTGTAGGAATTAAGCACCCCTCAAGCAAACCATTTTCACGAGTGAGTTTGGTTAAGTTGGAAGTCGAGAGATAAGATTCACCAACAGAGAGAGTGAAGCCTATGGAGGCCATGGCTTCAAGGTTGGTTGGAGTCTTCATGATATAAGTTCAGGTTTAAGGACTTTCATAAGTGAGATGTGCACTTTTATGCCACTAATGAGTCATGGGGTGTAGGATATTCCTACTAAAGGATCACCTAATGGATGACAAGTCGTTTTGGACCTTGGTGGAGAGGACCAAGTTGGAAAGCAGCACGTGGTTATCAGGACCATAAAATTGTGTTATAACATATCCTTTGGTCAGGGCATGTATGCTCACAAGGTAAAGGACGTGGAACTGTCAAGGTAGTCAGTGAACCTCAGGGTTGAGAACAGCAAGAAAAGAGGTCAAGCTATGGTCATGCCTTCGCTTTCTAAAGGAAGAAAGTCCAGATGAGTGTTAATAAGAACCAACCCTTGTGTAGGTAATCTGGACTACAAAGAGTAGAACTTCAGTTTCATACACGAGTGTAATGCTAAACTTGTGAAGCATTCTCAAGTAGAGGTAGAACTTCCAAACAACGTAATTTTGGAAACTACCTGAAGGATAGTGAGATGGAGATTTGTAAACATGTATAGTAAAGACATGATGTCTCAGAGAAGACACTAGACGTAGTATCCTCAGCGTTTGAGGGAGGCTAGCTACCAAACAAGAGTTTTCAGAGAGTTCCTTAGGATCCTGTGCAAGAACTTGAAAGGTTCACATGCTCGAAAAAGCCAGTGGTCAGATATCACTACGAGAGAAAATGTGACTAGCTCAGTCATAAAAGATACTACAGGGGTTAACCTAGGTGAATGTAGAGAACTCATGTAAGGACCCTTACTCCCAAAAGAGCCCATACTTAGCCCAGATGGGTATTAGTACTTAAGCAAGTCATGTTACAAGGCGTCTCGCTGAGAAGAAAGTTGGTTAAATGAGATGAAACTACAAGGCTATTTTGGAGAAGTAGTAAAAACCGTCTCGACAAGGTCGGGATATCACCAGATAAGAACCAAAGGGGAAGACATAGAAGCCGCTATGGACATTATGACCTATCTCTAATATCATAGGGGTGGCCTCCAGTCTCGGACAAAGAGAGTACATGAATGAATAAAGATGACATTCGAACGAAAGTAATCCCGAGTATAGATGATTGAGAAAAGCTTAAAAAGAATTGAAAGTTACTATCTATATCAACGATGTGCACTTTTCTTTTTGGTGGCTCAACTGTAGGAACTCTGAATTTAACTGGAGCCATTTTATATTGGGTGGCCTTTCGAGAATTTTTGTAGCAAACACGTGATTGAGGATAAAACGTGTTAGAAGACTTCATGTTGGTTTGTGTTGATAGTTTTTACTAGAAGTGAGGAGTAAGTAACCTGACCATATCGTCACGGGAAAGCTATGGTCATTGAGTACAACATTAAGATTCGAATCTTGGGTATGAGTCGTTGCAATTAGAAGCTCGAAACTCTGACCAAATTATAACATTGAAAGAATTCTAAAATCTCAAAAGATTCCTCACTCTACTATAGACATCAAATATACAAAATCTTAGGTCTACAAAGAAACCCAACACACCATTGAATTACTACATGGGGGAGCAATCAAGCATAAAAGAAAAAAGAAAAAAAAAATGATTTTGGTGGGAGGGAGATTTTATTTCATTTTTCCAATGGTGTATAATATACCAGAATGAATATTTTTCAAGTAAAATCCATCATCAAACGCTGCCCAAATGCAGTTTTTAAAGTCACACTATGGAGAAAGTCAATACTAGTTCCCATGCCAAAATCCTCAAATGAAGCATGTCCATTCAAACCATTAAATGCACCAAAACAAAGTTGTACGCCAAAAGTTCATTTTGAAGCTCCAGTTGAATTGGGCTTGCTTGTCCAAAATGCGTTCGCTCAAATCGTCATCTCTTGACTTGCAATGAACATTTAAAACTTAATTTGTTTGATAATTGTAAATAGTCACTTGTCAATTGCTCCATGGTTCTTGCTCTTTGCTCCCTATAGCTTGTATTATGGATCCTACAAAACGTGTATTAATAATAATATGCTTGATTCCAAAGCAAACAATAAAATAAGCAATAGCCGGTTAGAAGCTTCAATTTTTCTTTAGATAGTCGAGGCTCTTTTATGGATGCATAGCCATTTGTGTTTTTGTTCATTATACTCCCAAAAAAAAAACTTGAGTTGAACAATCTCTTAATCCTCTTTGGGAAGGTAATTTAAGGTTAATATCCATGCAAAATATTAAATGCTATGAGAATTTTGAGTTTGGATATCCCTATGTGTTAGCATAGTTATAAATATCAATTCTTTTTTATTTGCTATTTTTTATTTTGATGAAAAACAAAGTTGTGCTAATTTTAATTAAAAAAATAAAGAAAACCACAAACCAGACCATTGCATTTTCTATATTTTCTCCTTAATTAGCATAAATTATCTCAGGTAAATGAAGGCAGTGTTATAAATGGTTCTCTTAACCATATTTATCATATTTTCTTGGCATTGAACCTGAAGAAAAAATAAATAAGAATTCCATCTTTTTGAGTTTGATTTGGGTTATATAGTTTTTGGGTAAAAATTCCATCCTTTCGGTCAAATATACCTTTATTTTTAGGTTTTAATTTATTTTTGATGTATATGCTTTGAAATTTATTTCATTTTTGTGCGTTATATTTTTCTATAAGATCTAAATTATGATATTCAAGTTCACATAATTATTTTATTCTTCCTTAACAAATTGAATATTTTGAGAGGTAAGTATTTTTATATTAAAAATTTCCATATAAAATGATTAGTAAACTTTTTATTAGAGTAATGTTGCAGCAAGCACGTCACAACTCTCACACAAAAGAAAGGATTTGATGTGAAGTAAGGCCAAGGTGATGGTTTTGTCTAAGAAGTCCATGGATGTATGAGCTCGTACACATTTGTTTGACCATTATACAAAGAAAAACCCTTCTTATCTGCACGCCAAATGCAGTGCCAATAGTTGCATCGTTCTTG